CGGTGAATAACGAATAACGAGGTGGCCTGCCTCGTTATTTGCGAATAACGAGTGACAAGCTGCCTCGTTATTCATTTTTCGTGATTCAACTTGTTTTGCGGGATTCAAATATGCTGCTAGCCATGACTAAAATGATGGATGCCAAGTATCCCCCAGTAGTATAAAACACAGCCAAACGACTTCTGCTAGACGAAAAACAGTCCACATTGTTATTCAAGCAGCGAATAACAGCTGTTTGTTATTCGTTTTTCACCTCGTTATTCGGGATTCACATATGAAAGTGTTAGTGTATCTTTAATGAGGATATTTCATGATTTAATTGAAAACGATCACTAGATGATAATAGAATAATGGATTGCAACGTATCCCCTACCAGTAGAACACTGATTCAAGACGCATCGTCCGTAAATAAACTAGACTGTTATTCAAGCGGCGAATACCTAATAACGAATAACGAAGTGGTCTGCCTCATTATTGGCGAATAACGAGGGACAAGCTACCTCGTTATTCGTTTTTTGTTATTCGACTTGTTATTCGGGGTTCAAATATGCAGCTAGCCATGACTATAATGAAGGATGCCAAATATTCCCCAGTAGTACAAAAAAGCAAAACGACTTCTAGAGGGAATGCGAGAGAGAAATGGGGTTTATCGTCCACTCGACACAAACTAGGTCATTTCGGTACTAACACATGGTTTAATTTCATTTCAATAATTCGCAATGGGGGAAGGGGGGACGGAAGACCCGGAGAAAACCCACGAGGTTGGACAGGCGACCCTACTCTCTGTCGCGTACAGCCGGTGAATCGAAACCACGCCACTTGACTCAATGACAGACCTTATGAGAGATACGATTGGTTTAATCTATGTTAATTAACAAATTTCGATATGTAGAATATGACAATACATTGATAAAGTAGTGATATGTTATGACTGAAAAACCAAAGATCCACATACAAAAAAACAACAAAAAAAACTCTATTATGTATTTTGAGCATGACCACATTTTGAACTTCGTCTCGTCCACATTCATATGTGTATAAACACGCCAACAGTGAGGCTGATGTCCCCCGTCGAAATCCCAAAATAAATAGATGACACATATTAATTAATCGCACACTTATTTTGTTTTCAAAAGTATCAAGTAATCAAACTGATTATCAACTATACACTAAGTTCCATAACTCTCTATCAGATAGAATCAAAGTTATCTTGTCTCAAAGCATCGACCAATGAAACTGCTTAGCTCAGCTTAGCTTTAGCTCGAAATGTTAATCATTGAACTCAGTCAACATCTACATCAAGTTTAAACATTCTACCTCAATTAAAAGCAGAGTGGTTATGTTCCAAAGTCTTGACCAATCAAATTGTTTATCGCTCCTTAGCCTAAGCAGAAAATTCTCATTATCGAACTTAGTCAAGGTAATGATATAATGAATCTATACTCGAAGTTTCATCACCCTCACTTAATTATAGCCAAAGTTATCGTGCGTCAAGGCATCAACCAATCGGATTGATTAGCTTTGCTTACAGTAAACAGACAATGTTCACCATTAAACTCCGTCATCAGATGAATGCCTACGCCAAGTTTGAAAAGTCTACCTCAGTTAGAAAGAGAGTTATTGTGTTCCAAAGTCTCGACCAATTGGTGTAGCACCATGGGCCTTCTGTCAGACGTGGAGAGCGTTCGTGGGAAAACCGGTCGCCACATCATATCTTAGTAGCCTTGTGATCGTCTAGAATTTGTCTCTAGCTGCCTTTGCTTCTGCTTCACGTTGTGTGTTTACTTCTTACTGTTTTCTTAAGACGTTTGTCTTACCAGGAATAGCAATGCAACAGTTCGTTTTTACATTTTATATATCATAGCTGATCGCATAGTTATGGTACAATGCATAGTAGAATAAAGACATTCTCTCTAACCCGCTCTTTAATGAATGTCTAAGGTTTGATTGTAGAACAGCGAGTGTTAAGTGTCGTGCACGAACTAAGGCACCATGTTTGCATACTCAAGAACAATATCACCATAGATAAAACATTTAGCTGTTCTTTAATGTCTGATGTAAGACTGATAATACCACAGGAAAAGATGTGGTTATCTGAGCTAGAGAATAACAAAAAGAAGGGGTTGGAGAACATGATCAGTTTTATTAATTTTTGCTGGCCAGCTTAACATCGAGGTATGTAGAATCAAATGTTTTGGGCAAAGTCCTTCGGATCAATTAAAGAAGTATTATTGCCTGAAAATTTGTTTCCACCACACCACTGAAGCTTATTGTATCTGAGTAAATATGTCGAGTTGAGCTAAGCGAACGGCTTTATAATTTGTATTAATATTATAAGGAGGTGGGGGGGGGGGGCTACATATTTCTTGCAAATGTTTTAATCATTGTGAGGATTTATGAACACTGAGGGTTTTGATTCCGAATGCATGTTAATTAAAATGACATGTAATATTAATTACTATATGTTTTGATTTTTCTGTTCGATGCACTTAAAGGTTATTTCTTTCAGAATCTGATAGCATCCCCAATGAATTGCAAATACCTGAAGCAAATATGACATCATTTTTGGCAGGAAGTCGGTTTTCTTTGAGTTGATTTAAACGCCATTTCAATTCCGTTCCGCCAATGGTACGCTCAACGATTTGACGGAGACGCCTATGATCATCATTATATTGCTGCTGATTGGCTTGAAGGTTATTGCCTATAAAGGGAGTTAAGACGTTGGCATGAAGTCCTCTGTAAGCTGCATCTCCCAATACTGCATCATTAGGTTGCATATTGTTTAAATACATTAAAAACTGAGCTGACCACTCTGCTGCAGTTTTGTCATGTGTAGCGCCAGGGATACCACTTACGATGTGTCTCACCACTCCTCTCCGGTCCACAATATATTCGACATTCAGGGCATCACACGATTTACCACGTCGGTCACAAAAGAAAGCGTCGCCAGCACGAGATGGGCGTTGTATTTTAACAATCATACCATCAATGTACAATACCGCAAACATATTTATGCCGTTGGCCAATTGGATTGGATCTCTAAGGTTGGCAAGTTCAGTTGGTTGAGGAAATGTTATGAATTTGTCCAAAATGTCAAACAAAAAATCAGCAACTTCATGTGTAAATAAATGACAAGTACCCCTTGCAATCCCAAATGCATGGGCTGGCTGACTATAATAACCACCAAACGAAAGGTAATTGAGAAAAACTTCTAACCGCTTTCGGGAAGTTGGATAACTGGGATCTATGTTGAATTTCTGTTGTCGCCATGTATTATATTCAGTAGAAAGTTCATCGATTTGATCATTATTCAGTCGAAACTTCCTTTCTGGAATTTCTTGTAAATCAGCAGGTCTGCGATCAACATTTCTTTGACTTCCGTTTTGGACATTTATGGGTAAAAACATCATTTTAAGCGTAAAAACTAAATCTGAAATTCTTAAATAAAAACAAATCCATTTTTGTCGTCTGCTGTTTTACACCAGTGTTGTATTAAATGACTTGAACTGAAATTTTTTTAACCCCTAGGGGTTAGTGTTAAAGTTATTTTTAACAAGATAATAACTTTATCAAGTTATTATTGTCTAACAAGTGTTTATGCAATTAGAAATAATATTGCACAAAGCTCATTGCCTCAATATTTTTTCACGTAAATTTTTTTTTTTTTTAAATCTGCAAATTGATATTGAAAATATAGACAAATTGAGGAGCTCAGGTATAACTTAGTGTTTGGGTAACACAGATACGACACTTTTGTTCATGTTGTGTAAATAGATCCATATTTAACACAACCTCAACACCGCAGACCTTAACTCGGACTGATTTCAAATACAGAGGGGGTCTGAGGTTGAGTTAGCACAGCGTTACACCAGTGCTACACTGATCTAACTGGTGTTAAACACTACACCACCTTAACCCAGGACTGGAATTGACCCATTAGGTAACTTAGGGACAAACATACACGCCTCGGTTTTCCGTCACATCCGAACGACTAGACAGCTGCCCTTGTCAGGCCCTACGTCCTGCATCACTGACAAGGGGAAACCACGCCGGAAAATCTGGATGAACTTTCTCGGCCAATGCAGGATCGAACACCTGACCTCGTGGCTAGCGAACCAGCGTCTTACCCACTTAGCAATCGTGATCATCCTCTCGTTATACACTTTACAGTTGATATTGTTAACATACCAGCAAATAACTTTTACGATTGAAAATATTTGCCACAAACAGATCAAGTCGTCATAATGTTAATTAGTTATTCACACTTATTAGTAAACATGCAGTAGTAAGTAGGTAAATATTATATTACTAAGGTGTTAAAACCGTGTCTCTTGATTATCGTACCCCACTATACGCCAGGTTGGTATATTCAATAGTGATGGTTATTATAATTACACAACTGCTAATTAATTACTATTGCATAACTTCTAACCACGTTTTAAACATTAGTGGTTGAATAGTTGATCAGTTGTAAGATTTAGTGACAAGAATTTCCATTACTAAAATGTCCAGGCTTATACGTCAAAGGCATCAGCTGAAATTCTAATATTCGCCAACTGAAAACATTATATGTGCAGTATATATAAGCTTTAAACATATGATATTACTACCACCAGAGTAAAGCAAGGAATAACTAAAGTTGGAACATAAGTAGAGGTTAACAGAAAATAAAGAAACAACAAAACAAACTCGTCAATTAAACACAGTGCAACATTACTTAGTTAACAGTATTAAAACATCCACAAGAAGGTGATCAGGGAGGCTCAAGTTGTTTTGGGTAAGCATCTATGAGAGAAAGTCTTGCTAGAGTATTACAAAATAACTATGTAAAATTAATTATAATAAAATTTTAAACGTAGATAACTGCAAATGAGTCAGTGTGTTTTTTTTTCTAAATTAATTGTGCACATATGCCGCTTTATTTAGTTTGTTGTTATTATTATTTTGTAATACTGGTGCAGACGAGACAGTATGTGAATACAGTTGATTATTCAACCTACCAGCTGTTGCTGTACTTGTGGGGTTTGTAGTGGTTTCTATTTCCAGTAAACCTAACATGAAACAAATATACACGATTAGGATACAGATTTTTAAGTATACATTTACTTACACACCCGACCCCAAAACTTGAACTTTTATCTACTCTTATTTGTAACATTTGTATCTGTAAATTAAACATAATATTGGGTTGAAATTTGCTAATTGTTTAGTTTATAATAATGTGTGGGACACGCGGCTTTCGGTTGTCTACCTAACTGCTCTAATGGTTTTCAAATCACAAACATCACCCATGACGAAGGAGAACTTTGCTAGATTTGACGAAATACAGACTGACGTAAAATCTTTGTTCATATTTCTTTCGGTAAACATACTATGATTTTGATGATGAGATATTTTAGCCCTTTTTTCAGGAACAGTTTGTCACTGCATACAGGACTAGATCCAAATATTCTGAAAGTATTCAATATATTGCCCCCAAGTAAACCAGTTTTCTAAGATATGTGTAATTAATAATAATAACATCTGATCCTATTTTAAAACACATACATTATATTCAAGATTTAAAAAGATAAAATAAAATCCCAATAAAGACTGCATTTTAAAAAAATAAAAACAGTTATCAATTTGGGAAGCATAAATGACCTTAAAAGTTAAATAATATTTGTCTCTATATTTCTGGCCCCAACATTCAAGACAATCATAGAAGCCAGAGGTTCAGTTAGTAAAAGTAAATCCAGAAGTAAACAAAATCGAAATAAAATGTTTTTGAAAATTGGAATCAAAATGGCTGCGGAATATCGATTTGAATATTTTGTGTAAAATCCAATATGGCGACCAAACAGTAAAAAATGTTATTGGGTTCCTTATTCCTACCAAGTTACTACTTGATACCTCAAATGCTAAGAGAGATACGCCATCTTGAATGTCGAAAAAATACTGACGAAAATATTTGATGCTAAAACTAATCGAGTGAACTTCCGAATTTAGAAAAACCGTCAGTCCTTGTGGGATTCGTCCAACGAATCAAAAAATGAAAAACCGACGAAGGTCCGTTGAAAAAATTAACCGAGATATGGGCAATCTGAAATTATTTTTTATCCCATCCGTAAAACAGTTCCTTTTTGTCTAATATGACCCAATTTATATGCAATACGTAGTTCCACGGTGGCCAGCAATATTGCGGCAAACTCTGACTAAAATCCACAAAAAATGCTCTTAGGAAAACATTACGTGTTTCGACGCCCGAAACAAGTAATAAAAACTTTTACGAATACAATATGCGTTTCGACCGAAGGTCCGAACACGTAATAAAACAATAGACCTACGTGTTTCGACCGAGGCATATATATTTGTTATATTCATATTGATATACACTGTCAGCAAGCACAAACACATCCAAACAGACGAAATAGCTGTCACTTGCAGCTGTCAAACAAAACACGTGAGTGCAATAAGTGTGAAGTTGAATCATTTTTCATTATTCGTTATTCACCAATAACAAATCATGAATAACGAGGTGGACCACCTCTTTATTTGCGAATAACGAGGGATACGCCACCTCGTTATTCGTTTTTCGTTATTCAACTTGTTATTCGGGATTCAAATATGCAGCTAGCCATGACTAGAATGATGGATGCCAAGTATCCACAAGAAGTACAAATCATAGTAAAACGACTTCTAGACGTAAAAAAGTCCACATTGCTATTGAAGCAGCGAATAACGAGCTGTGGATTTTTCGTTTTTCATCTCGTTATTCGGGATTCACATATGAAGATGTTAAGAACGATCACTAGATAACAATAAAATAATAGATTGCAAAGTATCCCCTAGCAGTAGAAAACCGATAAAATGACGTATAATCGGTAAATAAATCAGATTGTTACTCAAGCGGTGGCTTGCCTCGTTATAGGCGAATAACGAGTCGAACAAGCTACCTCGTTATTCGTTTTTCGTTATCCAACGTGTTATTCGGGATTCAAATATGCTGCTAGCCATGACTAGAATGGTGACTGCCAAGTATCCCCCAGTATTGTTATTCAAGCAGCGAACAACGAGCTGTTTGTTTATTCGTTTTTCACCTCGTTATACGGGATTCACATATGAAAGTGTTCATGTACATGTATTTTTAATGAGTATATTTCATGATTTAATTCAAAACGATCACTAGATAATAATAGAATAATGGATTGCAACGTATCCCCTAGCAGTAGAAGAAAACTGATTAAATGACGCATCGTCAGTAATTAAGCAGCGAATAACTAATAACGAATTGACCTGCCTCGTTGTTGGCGAAACGAGGGACAAGCTACCCCGTTATTCGTTATTCGACTTGTTTTTCGGGATTCAAATATGCAGCTAGCCATGACTATAATGAAGGATGTCAAATATCCCCCAGTAGTACAAAAAAGCAAAAAAACTTCTAGAGAGAGAGAGGGGGGGGAGAGAGAGACATGGGTTTATCGTCCACTCGACACAAACTAGGTCATTTAGTGACTCACACATGGTTTAATTTCATTTCAATAATTCGCAGTGGGGGGGGGGGGGGTCCGGAGGACCCGGTAAAAACCCACGAGGTTGGACAGGCGACCCTACCCTCTGTTACGTACAACCGGGGAATCGAAACCACGCCACTTGACTCTATGGCAGACCTTATGATACAGCGCGCACGAGTTAACCATTCGGGGTGGGGGCATATAAAGTCGACTCTGGGGGAGATAAGGTTGGTTTAAGAGGGATACGATTGGTTTAATCTATGTTAATTAACAAATTTCGATATGTAGAATAGAACAATACATTGATAAAGTACTGATATGTTATGACTGAAAAATCAAAGATCCATACAAAAAAAACACCTCTATTATGTATTTTGAGCATGACCACATTTTGAACTTCGTCTCTGTCCACATTTGTATATATTATTGTATAAACAAGCCAACAGTGAGGCTGATGTCCCCCGTCGAAATCCCAAAATAATTAGATGACACATATTAATTAATCGCACATTTATTTTTTTCAAAAGTATCAAGTAATCAAACTGATTATCAACTATACAATAAGTTCCATCACTCTCTATCAGATAGAATCAAAGTTATCTTGTCCCAAAGCATCGACCAATGAAATTGCTTAGCTCAGCTTAGCTTTAGCTCGAAATGTTAATCATTGAACTCAGTCAAGATCTACATCAAGTTTTAACATTCGACCTCAATTAATATCAGAGTTGTTATGTTCCAAAGTCTTGACCAATCAAATTGCTTATCGCTCCTTAGCCTAAGCAGAAAATTTTCATTATCGAACTTGTCAAGGTAATGATATAATGAATCTATACTCGGAGTTTCATCACTCTCACATAATTATAACCAAAGTTATCGTGCGCCAAAGCATCAACCAATCGGATTGCTTAGCTTTGCTTACAATAAACATAAACAGACAATGTTTATCATGAATGCCTACAGCAAGTTTGAACAGTCTACCTCAATTAGAAAGAGAGTTATTGTGTTCCAAAGTCTCGACCAATCAAATTGTTTATCGCTCTGCCTACTCTGAATAGAAAATGCTCATTATCGAACTTAGTCAAGGTATTGATGTGCTAAAAATATACACTAAGTGTCCTCACTCTCACTTAATTAGAAGTAAAGTTATCGTGTCCCAAATCATCAACTATCAAATTGCTTATCTCTGCTTACCCTAAGCAGAAAATTTTCATCTTCGAACTACACCAAGGCATTGACGTAATAAACATCTACGCCAAGTGTGAACATTCTAGCTCAATTAGAATGCGAGTTATTGTGTTCCAAAATCTCGGCCAATCAAATTGCTTATCGCTCTGCCTACTCTTAGCAGACAATGCTCATTATCGGACTTAGTCAAGGTATTGGTGTAATAAAAACATACCAAATTTCATCACTATCACGTAATTAGAACAAAAGTTATCATGCCCTAAAGCATCAAATAATCAAATTGCATATCTCTGCTTACGATAAGCAGAAAATGCTCATTTTCGAACTCCATCAAGGCATTGACCTAATAAACACCTGCACCAAGTTTAAACGTTTTAGCTCAATTAAGAGAGTTATTGTGTTCCAAAGTCTCGGCCAATCAAATTGCTTATTGCTCTGCTTACCCCGCAGCAGAAAATGCTCATTACCGAACTTAAAGGACAATATTGGTGCCAGTCATTATCACATATGTGATAGAACTGGTTAAACACTTTCCAAATATCATTTTATCACATAGATCATTGCTACGATAGATGAATAATCAATGTTTCAACAATAGGAAGTGACGATCGCAAAAGGAAAACACGAGTTATCCCTCTAATATAACTGGCTGAAGTGACAAGGGATAACAGATACATGGACGAATTTCTGCTCACTAAAAATTCCTTGTGTCCCAAGAGGTGTGACAGACAGACAGACAGACGGACAGACAGACAGACGGACGGACAAAAAGACAGACGGACGGACGGACGAACCCATTTTAATAGTCCCCTGCTTTCTGCTTTATTTATGTTAAGTAATGTAATCGTTGGCCTTCTGAAGTATCGTGACTTAAATTTAAGAAATGAAATACTTTACATATTATGATCTTTACATATTATGATATTAAATTCGATGCATTTCTCGGAATTGTTATATGACATTCCTTACAAACCCTGCGCCCCGCCTACTCCACCCAAAAACAAAAATATTAAAAATAATTAGCTAATATTAAAATTCGGAATTTTTTTAATTCTAAAGGTCATGAGCACAACGATAACATTTAAACAGCCCAACAGATTGTATTGCCCACTCTTAGTTGACAAATCTGTTTATGGCATAGTAATGCATATTTTTTGTTATAAGCCAGCAACCATGTTTAACTTTATTGGCGGGAGGGATGGGACATTCATAGTATGCCTCTCCTGTTGGAACTGTAATGTGGTCACTATTTAACAAAAAAAAAAAAAAACAAAAAAAAACAAAAAAACAAACAACAGAATTTGAGCCCACTATACAATAGGTTATTAAAATAATATGAAACAAACCTGAAACTATTTCTATAGCAGATGTTTCTCTGGTAATAGATACCCCTCCATAAGATATCCTAAATATTATAGTGAATGATCCGGTTATATGGTGTGATTGTACGAATTGTGATGTAACGTTTGACGTTACTGTAATAGTTTGGAAACCAATAGCACTGCAATCTTTGCGTTCTATTGTGGAAGAGTCCAATGGGTATGTAGTATTATTCTGCAAAAAGAAAAAAAGTTACCCATTCAGTGTATTAACGTACAATAAGCACACGAACTTTCACAAAATAATATACAACCATTAACATGACAAGAAAATGGAATGGGGATTAACGTCCTTCTTTTCTGCACCTACTAGTGGGCTAATCAAAAGACTCACAAAAGTTTTGCAATAAATACTTATCTATAATATGATTATGAAACACAAGGCAAGCTTCTATGTAGAAGCCTCGGTTACCTATAAACATGCAAATATCTAAAACTATCGCAACTGTCAGTGACATCTTCACAATACACTATTGTTTATGCATGTTTGAAAAGTTCACATATATATATTACCTGTTTTAAATGCACTGTAATAGAGGTTTCTTGTGGGGTACAGGCCACTGTACAGTTTATGGGTATACTATCTTTTAATTCTGGTGGAGCGTGGTCAGTTATGGCTGCTGTATGGTCCTGATCTGAAAATTTTCCAAATAATATGTTTTAGTTGTTCGAATAATTTAGGGTTCCATATAACTACATATTAGAACAAACGTAAGGACAAGATGTAAACGTGGATTTAATTATGAAACATTTATGCTACTATTTCATTAGATACAGGTCGTAATTATTATATATATCTTATATCGCAAGATACCAATAACTGTGTATTGTATATTCGTTATAGGTGGATCAGCGGTGTATATTATCCCTTTGTCGGTAGCTGAGCTATCTAATTCTAGAATGTATCTGCTTCACAAAGAATCGCCCCATTTCTAAGCCTTTTAGACAAATTTTCGGTTCTTTTATGCGCCCTTAAATACCACGGAAGATGTCAAGTTCTATTCCTATAAATCAGATCAATTGTAATTATTAAAAATATTTAACATACCTATAACTTCATATTGAAATGGGGAAGATGGTGTATCAGTCCCATATATTATCCCCTGATCGACATCCGAGCTATTTAATTCTAGAATATATCTTCCGCCATAGTCCTGACAATAAAAATTAAATCGTGCAGGAGCAACAATGAGTGGACTTTTACAGCCAGAACCTGTTGTATCTACTCTTGCATCACGAAGAAGTGTTGTGTCTCTAAACCACAATATGGTCATTTCGTTTGGATTAAATTCCATTGTGATATTAAATCGGGCTTCAGATAAAACATTATTAGTTTGTCCGGCGACGAGATCCGCATTAAACACGCCTGGAAAACATTAGGTATGGAATGTAAGCATTAAGATACACAAACTGTACACCTGGGCCTGTTTCACGGAATTTTAACTAAGATAAAATCCAAATTTTAGTAAAATCTTAGTGCTTAGCCAATCAAAATTGAAATATCTACTAAAATTTGGATTATATCTTTAGTTAAGATTTCGAGAAACAGGGCCCTGGTTCTATCAATAATACTACTCGTTTAATTTCAGCCATTACGTCAACTTTATATTAGGTTTTAGTAGCGATGCCAAACGCCGCTAGAGGCGCTGGCTGTCCTATTATTGGTGTGCTAAAAAACCTGACCGAAAAATGTACCGTTTCTACTACGGGGTCTCATGAATATTCAGGAAGTCAAAACGTGGTCACGTGGCACTTTTCCGGAACCTGGTGAGCTGAAGTTAGCGGACTGCCATAGCAGGTAAGATTTTGATCGAATTTTCGCCTATTTTTCTTGTTTTTAATTTTTAAATGTAATAGAAACTTTGAAAAAAAGAGCATTCCGCTCGAGATATCGACATTTTTGGATAGCCTGGTATATATTTTGTATAGTTTGAGCTTTTGTTTTGCCAAAATCCCCCGTAGGAATTGGCAATAAGACGGAAAGTAGAACCGGGGAAGAATCAGGGAAAGACAACTCTTGGTAGGTGCGTGTATGGGATCAGACCACAATGAATGATTTATTTTTTTTTTCCCTACCTTTTGCAAACTTAAGTGTGAACTATTTAGATGTTTTTGCAAATTTAATAACATTACTTGTAAAAAAAAATGGACTTTTGAGAAAAATATATCCCCAAATATTGAAATAAGACTGACTTGGCATAGGCAAAATGAAAATGTGTATCTCATTTATTTTAAAGCTTATATTTACTATGGAAGAAGAGTATTCACAACCATTATTCATAACAGATTCTGAGGAGAGTGAAAAAGAAATTGGAGAAAGTGAATCTCAAGTAAGGCATTTCAATCTGTACTTTAGGACAGTTATTATACTATGTTTATTTGATGCAGCACTCTTTTATTATAACTTTAAAAAACATAATCGGAAGAGGCCAGGGATTATATTGCTCTGTACCAAATCAATTTTATTTTCCAGGCACAGACGCAAGCTCCAAGATTCATGCCACTTTTCACTCCACGCTTTAGTTCTGAGAATACAGATTCTGATGACCAAAGTTTAAAAATTCCAGAAAAGGTACATTTATCTAAATAATTATAATGGTCAAATATAGAATGTTAGTCAGACTACAAAAATATGTGCATTGAGCAATCTTGCCAGTTAAATCGGTACAAATAGTATTCAGTTCATACTAATAGTCCACTTGTACCACAGTAATGTACAGTATACGCCTATCTCCAGTGCCGGATCTAGGGGGGGGGGGCAATGTGGGACAAATGTCCCGGGCCCCCCACATTTAGGGGCCCCCCACAATTCTGGGTCATACTAATATTTTATCCCGGATTTCACTAAAATAAAGTAAATGAAAACATCATAAGAGAAAGAGTCTGTTTTAAATACTCAAATTGTCAATGAATTCTAAACGTCAATGAAATCGCTGACTAAATTGTCTTAGATGCACTGAAATTAATCCTAATTTTAAAAAAGAATTCCTGGAGGAAAACACCCCTGGCACTCAAGGGGGCGGAGTACATACTAGTACGATCCGCGGTCAATACGAACATTTTGAACAAACAACATTGGGGCCCCCGCACAGTTGGTATGTCCCGGGCCCCCACAAGGTTAATTGGGCACTGCCTGTCTTGCCAAGAGCACCCTGAATGATAGTTGTGTGTTTCAGTTTAGCATGATATACTTATCAGACAACAAAATATATTATTTATTTATCTTTCAGGTTGCAAGATTGGACACACAGTTAACCTTTTCTGCATCAACATCAGAATTTGATTCAAGCCCGAAAATATTACGGAAAAAAGTAAAGAAACCAAAACGTGACCAGAACATAAAAGAATGTCAAACTATAATCGTCGGTGAAATATTTGCTAACACTAAAAACATGATTATGAGTGATGATATCCAAGTCAAACGAGATGATAATTTAAATGTAGGAACACAAACTGTTATATCTGGACCATTTATGCTTGATTCCCAAAACTTGTATTTTAAGTTTTAATTACTAATATGATCATGTAATCAAATCCCCCAATTATAATCCTCATGTCTTTTTGTGTCAATCTTGGGTTTACTGTCCAGGCTGCATTTTCTGACAGAAAGCCCAAGATTAGAAATTTGACTAATGGGGCAGTCTTGGAGCTTTTTGAACATGGTAGGTCTGTGAATGCAAAAACTATGGATGTGATTCATATAATGTGTGAAATTTGTGATGTTAAAGACGCCAATATTACTGCGTGTAGATCTAAGGTTTACAGGATGATTGACGCAGATAAGAAAAAGCGAGCTGAAGTTCGAGATTCATATAGGAATCAAATATTCCATTTACCGTCTTCTGTTCCAACATTAAGCACTACAGAATCAACGACAGAGTTAAAACAGTCAAAAGATGTTTCAGAGAGTAACATAAAAGAAGCAAACAGAATGCTTAAAAGAAAAGTTACACGTAGGGAGGACTCCTTAGAGAAGAAAGTAGCTGCAAAGACTCGAAAACTAGAAAAAATTACTGAATCAACTCAACAGAAGTTAAAGAAATCAGAGGAGTCATTGAAACAAAAGACTGAGATTCTCGAAAAGAAAAGGCAAAAGCACAGTCAAGACATTTTTAGCTTTAGACAGTTAAATAATTATGTTAAAACCCTGAAAAAACATATCGATGGTGTTAATGTAGTGCTTGAAGAAAGATCTCGTGAACATAAAGTTTTGGAGGAAGAATATATCATTCTACAACAGCAAAACAAGGAATTAGAAAAAAGTGTAGAGTATTTGCAAGGATTGATAAACGATACTGATGAAATTATTGTTTGTGATCCTTCAATAAATATTTATTCAAATAGATTAATTGAATGTGTGATGAATCTTACTAACTTAAAGATCGCAACAAAAAATGTTGGGCCTGTTATACAGGAAGTGGCTACACTTTTGGGAAAACGAGTGAACCGTCTTCCATCCCGCCAGACTGTTGACAATATTGTGGATAGAAAAGTGTCAATGTCACAAAAGCAAGTATCACAAACTATAGCGAAAGAAAAAGATACCACCCTTTACACTGATGAAACAAGGAAGCATGGACATACTTATCAAACCTACATTTTAACCGATAAGAGTCAGAATTCTTATCTTTTGGGCCTTAGAGAAATGGTGAACAAAAGTGCACAATGTACATTGGATGTGTTGAAAGAAATCCTATTTGACATCTCAACTCATTGTAAGGAGCTATCCGAGGCAAAAAACTTTAGTGTTGGGTATGAACTATTATGCAATATAGCAAATACCATGTCTGATAGAGCCAGCACAGAAAAAGCATTCAATACCTTGCTAGAGAGCTACAAAGAAGAGGTCTTGCCAAAGGTTATAGATAATTATAATGAACTTTCAGTCGAGAAAAAATCTCACTGTGGGAAAATTAACAATTTCTTCTGCGGATTGCATCTTCTTTGTGGGATGGCTGATAGGCTGGAATGAAGAAATATGAAACTGGCTTCTTAGATGGCAAGGAAATAGGATCTTCTGTCAAGCCTGAACTGAAGCGATTCCATAAGGCAGAGAGTGGCACATTAAGACTACTCCGCTCTTGTAGTACATCGTTTGCAAGAGGAGAAGATGAAAAAAAATGGAGTGTATTTGCCTTTTACTACATATTTAAGTCAAAAGAAAGAGAAAAACCAAATTTTAAGATTCAAACATAACAGATTCAATATGATATTCATGATGGGTCAAGCCGTCTATTACCACAAGGAAGATATTTTTATATTTCTTGACAAAGAGCATGGTTTTACAAACACCTTACTTAAAGCAGTACATTTGAACATTCAGGAAAAGCTCTACTTATCTGGATGCAAAGCACTCGGACTGATATCTAAATTTGTAACAGCTCCACTTTGGAGAATTATCGAAGCACCTGGACACATTTTAGATATGAATGAACAGTACTATGCCCTAGTGACATTTTTGGATAAAGCGAGTAGTGATATTGATTTCACTTTGAAATTTATGAATGGTGAATGTACCCCGTTTGAAAATACCAGTATTGATGATAATGATAAAATCTCAAGATGCTTGTTAATACCCAATGAAGAAGTTGATGTAATCTTAGGCCCACTATTGCAGTCATTATTTACAGCCATAAAAGAACTGTTACTTAGAATGGTGCCAGAACACTTGCCAGGAGGCAAATTTTGGAATCCAGATGAATCTTTACTGGAAGAAGTTTCCTCAGCAAAAAAGCATAACAAACTTCCTGAATTCGTATTTGGACAGTTAGACCATCTTATATCCTACAGACCTAATGCATCCTTACTTGCAAATGAAGCATACATTATGTTCAGTTTCAACAAAACATCTACATGGTTGAGAGAACTTAGCGAGGATGAAAAAAACAGGCTTCTAGATGAATCCAGAAAAGAAGGAAGAGAAATAAGGAAAGAATTCATTTCAAGAACAAAATCCATAAGTGATGAGCGTTTCAGGTTACAAAAGCTAAAAAAACAAGAAATGGAGAGGTTGGAAGCAAGTAGGATTCAGCGAGCAGAGTGTATGACAAATGATGTGTGTTATTATGGTTTATAGCAGACAGTGGATCAGATTAAAGAAGGAATGGACAAGTTAAGTGGTAATGATAAAGAATTAAGATGTGCTCTTCAGACTCAATTAAAGTTTCGTAAATCAGTACTCCATCAGAAGCATTCCGACAAACAAATTTTCAATTTAACAAAGAAAGAACCAGGTGGCAAATATCGTAAATTATCAGTAAAAGAACTAAGAGACAATTTATGTGAATTAGTTAAAACTGCCTTGGATGCCGGTTCTAAGTCAGAAGTTTCTGCCTATGATGTGCCTTTATTAGTAGATAAAAGGATTTTACACAAATTTGCAGATGGACAAGAATATCCCGGTTATGTGATCAATGTTGTTCTAGGCTTCCCTCAATGGTACAATGTTAAATTTGATAATGATGATGCTATTTACTCATACAATTTGCATGAGGATTATAAGAGGGGGGACTTAAAACTGTCAGTTTCTCAGGAAAATGCTTAAACATTTTAAAGTATAATACTTTTTGTATTTTCAGAAGGCATTTGAGTTACTACATGTAATTTTTCTATTCTTGCATTAAGATTGATATTTTTTATCATTGTATGTGATTTTTGATAATGTTATAATCAGAGATATTTATTATTTTTAGAAGAGAACGGGTCATTCTTTGTTTGTTTAACAATGATTTATTATATTATATACCTATATTTTTTTGTATTTGCATATGACTTTGATGACGTCCAGCCATGCCAAAAAAGAAATTATTTTGTCATGTGTAATCCCTGTGATTTTTTAAAGTTTTGTTTTGTAGTTGGTAAATTATTTTGTCATGTGTGATCCCTGTGATTATATCATATATTGTTAATTTCTTAAAGTTTTAGTTTTGTTTTGTAGTTGGTAGTTTTCATATGATTGATGTTGATCATGATACAGTTTTGTTTTCTCCTATTTTTTTTACAATGTATTCTTTAGCATTGATATATTTATCTGTTTATGGGATATTAAAAAAGATATTGTTACTCATTGTTGCAAGCTAGCATATTGTGGATTTATTTTTTCTTAATAATTTATAACCATAGATATTTGTTTAATAATGTATCATTACATACAATTATGTATATTTTTTTGTATATGACTTCGATGACGTCCAGCCATGTATGCCACAAAGTTTTATTAGGTTTGTTAAGAATATATCTATTTAAGAATATATCTATTTATTAGCCATGTGCCTTTAGCATTGATATTTTTTATCACTGTATGCAATTTTTTACTCATTGTTGTACATCTTTTTTTTAAAATTTTATAACCAGAGATATTTGTTATTTATAGAGAAGGGGTGATTCTTTCTTTAATAATGTCATAACATTCGATTACTTATACATGTAACTTTTTGTATTTGCATATGACTTTGATGACGTCCAGTCATGCCAAAAAAGAAATTATTTTGTCATGTGTAATCCCTGTGATTATATCATATATTGTTAATTTTTTTAAGTTTTATATTTTTGGTTTTGTAGTTGGTAGTTTTCATATGATTGATGTTGATCATGATACACAGTTTTGTTTTCTGTTATTTTTAAATTTAGGTCATAAGTTTTCACCCAGAAAAATTCTGTTATTTATTTATTTTTGTTGATTTTAAGTTTTATTGATTTTGTTAATTGAAATAAAGATATTTTTATTGATCATAATACTTGTGATTTTCCATTCCTGAAACAACTATTTTTGTCAGGTAAAAAATGAACGCTGTCTGTGTGTTTTGCATGTGTATGTATCCAGGAAAAGACTGTGAATATTTTAATAGCCTCTAGACCTACAGGGGGGTTGGATGGCTGAATGGTTAGCGTGCGCGCGCTGTATCATAAAGTCTGTCATTGAGTCAACTGGCGTGGTTTCGAATCCCCGGTTGTACGTGACAAGGAGTAGGGTCGCCTGTCCAACCTCGTGGGTTTTCTCCGGGTCCTCCGGTTTCCTCCCACTGCTAAAGACCCCTACGCGCAAGCGAATTATTGAAATAAAATTGAACCATATGCTAGTCCCGAAATGACCTAGTTTGTGTCGAGTGGACGTTAAACCCCATTTCTCTCTCTCTCTCTAGACCTACAGTTGACCCGTGACCTTTCACTTTCTGTATGACCTTGACATGGTATAGTAAAAAAATGCAATTCGAGTAGCTGATGCCTAATAAAAAAACACGATAACAATGTGAAAACATTATTTGTGTATCTATCACATCAAAAAACGGGTTGGGTAAATATTTCAAAGCCCTGGGACTTCTACATGGTTTGTTATTAACTATCACGTCATTTTTTTGCTGTGACCTTGAACGAAAATTGTCTCGGTCGTAAGTTTGAGAGTCTGTAGCATACACACTATATAACCGAAGAGTCTCCCGATAATTTGATTCAATCCAGTACATCTTGAACTTCAAATTCTGCAAGATTCGTGGATATACCTATTATAGTGTCTGAGATTTTAGCTTCGGTCAGGTTTTTTACGTTTTTAAAAAAAAGCCGTATTTTGGTGCCTCCAATTCGCGGTCTTCAAAATGCCATAACTTTTTTAATTTTCAATATTTTTTCAAAATTCTTTCAGATTATTGAATCTACATAGTTGACGCTTGCAGTGCAATAATCATATTAGAGACATTTTGTGTATTTAAAAACCCTTTGGCAACGCTAGTTTTAGTAGCTTTAAAAATTAGTATTTAAATTACCTGGGCAACAATTGTGACCAAATTAAAAAACAATAGAATGTTAGCTGAAAATAAAACTTACATTTGTGACTAAGTGAAAGAAAGTGAGACACATTTCGTTAAAAAATGAAATAACAGCTTTACATGAATTGAAATGCTGGATACAACAAATTTTCATTTAGTTATGCTACAGTTATTTAGTACAGGACCGAGATATACACCATACAATTTATAGAAAACCGAGATGTGTCGTTTAACTACAAAAGTGATAACAACCAGCAAACTGTACTGTACAGATTTGACACATTCATTACAAAGTCTTCGTCTGCAGACATTTTATTTAATGACTTCTGACACATGTGATATCTAGCCCCGTAGTGGCTTAATGTAATTAAACAAACGGTAAACGGTTGCCCTGCAAAATACTCACATATTTTCCAAGAGATGGACGGAGAATAAGGAAAATCAATAGGGCCCATATTCTCATTGTTTCACATCGAATTAAATACTGATTCATGATTTACCATTATAATTTAGTTTGCCATACACATGCTGACAAAGATCAAGTTTTCAAAATAGTGCCCTTATTGATCAAGTTTCAGGGAAGTAGCCCAGTTCGGGAACAATGAACTATGATTACAATATATGACACTACGGGGACATAGGTGACTCCAAATAAGGAATTAGCCGTGGCACTATCGTCTAGGGCCGTCAAGTATTTCAATCATCAATTAACTGACTCTGGAATACCGTTTATGTTGTTACTCTGTTTATATATCGAATACAGCAAACTACAAAAGGTTAAATACAGGAAACTACAATATCTATGATAGTACGTTAGGAGTTATTAAAATATTCACGGTCTGGGTTTAATGTCCTTTATAACTCAGACCTAACAACTCAAACACTACATATTGTCTCTATCCCAGCCTCTCAGTCACGACGGTGTTAATATTCGCCTTTCTACTGTGTATTAACAACAGTGTTCATTATAAACACAGATATAAATTTGTTTGTTATCCGCGGTAGTGTGTATAATTGTATATTTGTATTTATTGTATATTTGCTATTTGTTGTAATGCCCCTATATAATGTTTGTATATTGTCCCTTTAAAGTTGCATCTTATACTGGTCGGCACTATCTTTCCAAGAGCAATTCTAATCTGTACTTACTTTCAACTCACTAAATTAATCACAACACAGCTTCTGTTTGGAACCTCACTTGCAAGCTAAACTTGTTATAAGGAACAACAGCACATCTTATTACTTGGTAAGTTTATATTTATTTGACTTGACTTTTATATTTATCTATTTCATATGGTAATATAATTAGGGTATATTTTGTATATGAAATCACGAAGTTATTATTATATTTCTATAAATTTTGAGAAAATTATACTTCTCTACTATTAAATAACAATTCATTAATATCATTAATTTCAGTCTTGTATTGCTGTATTTTATATGTTATCAGCATTAGAATAGTTATATCAGTATTATTATAAACTCCTATTTTATAGGATATCTATTTGTATGTATTTATATTATGTCAGAGCTCATTGTAAATTAGTAAATTAGGTCGCAATTTTCAGTAACTTCTTATCTACATTCCTTTTATTGCAATAAAACTAATTCCCGTCACATTGTTTAAATATATGTATATAATTATAATAATTCTTGATATAATTTACACATTTCTTTGTATATTTCAGAGTTTATCTGTATCCACATTATTATTATTATTATCATATAATGTAATTTGATAAAATTGTAAATAAAACAAAAGTAGGATGTTAAACCCCAATTCATTTTTCATTTTGTAAATAAAACATATGACCCTACGATCTGATGTTTTCTTCATTTAGAAAGTCTGCTATCAGCAATACACCTGCATTTCCTAAATAATTTAATAATATGTGATATATACACGCTATATAAACATATTTGTGAAGTTTCATCTGAATCAGCAAAATGGGATGACGAAATGGACCTGCACATTCCACTGACCAACTCAAGATATTAGTTAGTATTATGGTTACCTTTGCTTCCAGAAAGTTTCAGCCATGTAACTTATGATCTAATCTTTAGCTGTGGCTATGTGCACGTTCTGACTAATTGACTTTTACTGATTTATGGACACCTAGCCACTACAAATTTAGGGGGTCAAATAACTGATGACCATATTATTAGCTATTAGCTCCTGGATTATTACGGTTCGATATGCGCCAATGTTGAACCGAGATCTTTGGGATATAAACATGCATTTTAAGTCACATAAACATAGGGAAAAACTGTGACCTTTCGAGGGCCCTGATTCTACTAAAAGTCGTGTTTTTAGCTTGTTGACCCATTAGAAGTCACAGTTTTTTATTTAATTGTAACAACCGTTCAAATATGTCAACGTTAAACCATAATGACGGTTGAAACTGAATTCCGGACTGAAACTGTCCGACAAAAAAATATTATACGGCTTTTCGGGTGATCTTTGAGATTGATAATAGCCCGAGACTGTCCATTATGTAAATGCAAAGAAAAACTTCGGATCTAACGCCCAAATTTGTTTTTTCTATGTACATTATGGACAGTCGTCGGACATTATCCATCCAATACATGTGTATTATATTTGATGGCACTGTGAGGTATATACCATGTATTCTAACTCAACAATTGAATATACATCATCACATTAATACTAAAGGGCGAGTAAAACATACCACTACTGATATTTTTAAATATAGAAAAGGTTAACTTGTATTAACATACAGATGTGACGTCACATTTTGAAGTTGGCGAACCATTATTTCAAATAATCGTACGGGAAACTTGCCAATCGTACATTATTTATACTAATGAAATATTGGATTCACGTGACGTATTTCACTGTAAAAGCACGTGCGGGGTGCCTGTATTTTAAGTCGTTTAATGGTCTCGAGCTTCAGACATTGCGTAATATATTGTAAAAACACTCGGGCCTACGGCCTTCTTGTTGTTAGAATATATTACTTCATGTCTCAATCTCGACCATAAACAATACATAATTGACTCACCTTGTAGGCCTACATGATATAGACATAGTACAATACATGTAGATATATACTTGAACATTGTAACTTGATGTTGTACACTGAAATACATTTTATCCATAATTAACGCCTATATTTTCTTAAACCCACTTTTACATTAAATTTTAACTATAGTAATATTTGGAATAAACCCATATCTACATAATATATAGTAGGTTGTGTTTTTCTTCCTCTTTCAACGCATCAATGACTGACTCCGTACAATACGTATATAACACCTGTCACATGTTTTGTGCATACCTGTATCAGAAAATATAGAATACATATTTAACTAGAAATGCAATGTACAAGGTCATATTAAGATGCGTAGAGATCATGTGGGGAAGGGCTCTACTAGAGCTATACATGCAAACCTCAAACCAGACATTCAGTCACATGGTTGTCATTGTCTTTGTACGTTGGTCTATTATTGGCTTGTGGCTTAATAACGACATAGAAGCAACAGTTTTTAACGGATGTTTTGTCAAATTTTGTGTAAAGTATTGGTGTCATGATTGGACGAATACTATCATGGATATGCATGGTTTGACTTTCCGTTGCAGAATTACCCCACCTTTTCGAAAACTTTGTTAACGTCGCCCATGTCGATATTATTACAATAAGGAAATTGGCTATAGAAGATAGATTTAAGTGAAGATTGAATTCATCAGACCCATTTTCATTACCGAAAACACACAATTATTATATTTACCAGAATTCATCTGTCAACTTGAGCTATATATTCTTATATATTACTCCATATTAATTCAGAATCGAAAGTGCAAATTTGTATGAGCGGGTGTTAGTCTAAAATTGAATTAGCGGATATATCAATGAAAGATATTTTTTAGATTATTTCTTTCCCTAAATCTGTTCAAAACCTGTCGAGCTCTTTGAAAAATGCAGATTTATTCATTACTCTACGATCGCACAATCTAAAAATGACGCCTAACACTATAAACTGACACTTCTCGACTATATTGAAATTCAGAGATCAAATGACATGACCTTGGGACCAATTTTAAAGTCTTTATAGCCATCTTTGGGGCAAATTAATTTTCAGGAACCCTAAATAGCTTAACACCTTATTTGCCAAACCGATCATCAGTAAATATTCTCTTGTCCGCCTATATCACCGAGAAAGATGACATAGGGCGAGATAATTAACTCTATAAATATTAACATTTCTTCTTCTGCAAATCAAATTGGAAAACATTTTTTAGATTAAAGAAAAAAAGGGTAAGGTGTTTGAAGTATTAGGGTATAATGAATGTTTCTATTTAGTATAAATGGGTACATAAAATAATGAGTAAAAGGCACCTCTTACTCCCGGTTCAGTTTGTGTCACTACGACCGATGTAAATAAAGCACGTGTTATCTGTGCCACATGCAGAACAATACTGGGTGTGACCTTAAAATTCAGTCATCTTGAACAGTTATTAAAGCGGGCTTAAAGTTTGCTTATTTGTATGTGAGACATCCCAAATACATGTAGGCAGTTGTACAAGCAATCACAATACTCTATATGTATAGTATCACAACGTATAGCCTTCTGTTGATAAAGTCCCCAAAATACCGAACAGAGCAGTACACATAACACTATTCGTGATTACAGAGATCAGTTGGACTTAAAAAAAAGTTTTTCAAAAATTCTTCTCAGACCTCCCTGTATACCTGTGTGGTACCACATTCTACAATAATTTTGACTTAGATTAATTTTAGGTATGTGGTGGGTTCCACAAGATGTAGGACTTAACAAATAAGCATTTTCTTTTCAAAAAATTCTTTTCCGAACCCCCTATATACCTGTGTGATACCACATTCCATAATAATTTTCATATCACAGGAGTTCCACAAGATATTGGACTTCTGATGGATAAAATGTCTTTGTGTGAACAATGCAGGGTACTGTCATCAGCAAACAAATCTATCTGACTTGAATCAATATTGAGTGTTAGATCATTTATAAAAGTAAGAAACAGGTGAGGACCCATGATCGACCCTTGTGGAACCCTGCATTTGAATGTAGTAAGTGAGGAGGTAATTGATCCTAAACAGACTTTTTGCTTTCGTGAGTCAAGATATGATTCAATCAAAATTTGTGGATTTTTATCAAATCGATAAAGATGTAGTTTCTTGATAATAAGTTTGAGATCAACGAGATCAAATGCTTTTCTAAAATCAAGATACACTATAATACTCATTCCACCATTATCGATAGCATCAAGACAATTATCTGTCATTCGGATCAGTGCAGTAGCACATGAATGATTTGATCTAAATCCAAATTGGTACGCATACAGAACATTGAATGCTTCTAAATAATATTGCATTTGGGTGCTCAAGTGCCTTTCGAATATTTTTTGAAATTGTGGGGAGAATTTAGATTGGCTTATAATTGTTCGGGTCTTCTTTAGCTCCCTTCTTATGTTTAGGAATAATTTTAGCAAATCAGTAGAAACTCACCTCTCCCAAATGAGTTTCTCGAATTAATTATAGTCTGTATTAAAGATACATTATGTAAGATTTAGATAAAGAGCTGGCCGTTCGTGATATAATAACTAAAAATAGATAATATAAAATGAAAATATTGAAAATGTCATTCAAATTACTTGATTCTGAGCCAAGATTTAGCTCTTGCATAATGTATGTTTAATTATAAGTATATTATATTCATGTAGGTGATCTTTAATGTTTGCATTGTATAGTCTACCAACCTATCCTTAACGCTTTAAACTCCTATCGGGTGATCTCACATTAGCTGTTGGACTATCACATTCACTTCTAGCTATAACCCAAATAACCAATTATCGGTTTATTGATTCCACTAACTAAGGAATTCACCGATTATAGATTTCATGTTCCAATCCGCCGAATATCAATCAGCTTTGACATCTATACCATACATAATCCATGTAAAACCATTATTGATACTGGTGGATTAGCTTCGTCTACACTACAATTCAACACGAGTTGTTTCCCTTCTATAACTTTATAGGGACTTGTTAGAAGTTCTGCGTGAGCTTTGGCTAAAAATTTAAACAAAAGAGAGAGAGAGAGAGGGGGGGGGGTAACGCCCACTCGACACAAACTAGGTCATTTCGAGACTAACATATGGTTCAATTGTATTTCAATAATTCGCGTAGGGGTCCTTAGCAGTGGGATGAAACCGGAGAATCCGGAGAAAAACCAGGAGGTAGGACAGGCGACCCTACTTCTTGCCACGTACAACCGGGGAATCGAAACCACGCCATTTGAGTCAATGGCAAACCTTATGATACAGCGCACACGCGCTAACCAAAGAAATAAATTAATTAGGTTCCAAGAAAGAGATATAGATTCAACGCAAACAAACAATTCGTTACTTGGTGTTAATCTAGCATATTTGAGATCTTTAGACGTCGAAGAAAATCGTATTCCATTTGACTAAAGTAAGGAATGTTCATCAAGATGTGATGCATATCTTCTGATAGAGACCTTTAAGTTTAAAGCTTGTTGTGAATTGCTTAGTGGTGTTTGTGGAGCAAAATCTCGTTTAGATAGGACAACGCTTGGATTTCGTGGGTCGACATAAACATTTTATTATTTCAAATCAACCCAATTTAAAGATTTGAATACAAGACATGGTCTCTTATTACAAGATAAGACAAGTGTTCAGATTACATGCATTTTAAGTTATTTCTAAATGTTTTAAAATTTAGATTGTAAATTGAGTTGTTTCTATACACAAATACCACAGGCACCCCCAAATACAGTTGTCATGGTTTATACGGTACACTATTATAAAACTGGAAGGAAAATTCTAAACTTTATCCCTAGGGTGACTTGGACAGTTCTGACAAAGGCTTTAAGAACTGTATGATTCTTTGACCAAGAGACGTTCTACTGCGAGCTATTTCTTCAAATCGTCAATAAATAGGAATGCATTTAGTATGAGTGTGATGGCTTGTAGCGTTTTACAATTTTAACTGTTGCATAAGTAGATGCGAACTTACTATTTCAATGACGACTTAAAATCCGATGACATAAAAATAGTAGTGGACGTTTAATCCTAGACGATAAATACTGATTATCTGCATTGTATGTTAACGAGATATATACTTACATCTTATGTTTAATGTTATAAAATAATAAAATACTTAAAATAGTAACACTTGGCACAGGTACTGTAATTAATGTTATCTGATACTTTTGTTACTAATAACAGTAGCATGCGGCACAGGTATTGTAAAAGTAAATGCAATAAATAATTAAGCCTGCTTAGGCCATTGTACACGTTTTTATTATTATTATTATTATTTTGTCGTTTGTGAATCAGCCATTACTAATTACTTCAACATTGGCTTCGGCAATATTGATTGAATTGAAACAATATTATAATAGTGTTTTTAATTTTGACTATTATAGAAAATATTGAGTTATGAGTTTAGCTCATTGAAATTTAAATATTCAACTACTGGAGAATGATTACTATCTTTATATCTCATTATAATATAGATCATACCTTTTACATCTATATCTATAGTATCTGTTACATCAGTTGTACCTGTATACCATGTTATAAAATATATCATACCTTTTACATCTATATCTATAGTATCTGCTACATCATCTGTACCTGTACAACTCCACATTCCACCATCTCTAGATACATTAGCTATATTAACAGATACACTGGTACTAGTTTTACTGATAGTGTATATACCAGTATACTGGTACTAGTTTTACTAGTGTTTTTTATAACGCAATATGCAAGATCATATAAAGATGCGTAGTGATCATGTGGGGAAGGGATCTACTAGAGCTATACATGTAAACCTGAAACCAGACATTCAACCATAACATATGTTTATCGTTGTCCCTGAATGTCGGTCTACAATTGGTTTGTTGCTTAATGACGACATAGAAGCAACAATTTTTAACGGATTTTTTTTTTCTTCAAAATTTGTGTTAAGGAGTGGACGAATACTATCATCGATATGCAGCGTTTGACTTCCGTTGCAGAGTTAGATCACGTTTCCGAAAACCTTGTTAACGTCGCCCGGATCTATATTTTCAAAGAATAATTCACCTTTTTACAATAAGGAATATGGCTATGGTACATAGATTTAAGTGAAGATGGAATTCATCAGACCCAATTTCATTACCGGGAACACACAATTATTATATTTTGGTACTACTGCGAAAACAATTATTTGTAATTACCTATATCTGTCTGTCGACTTGAATTATGCATTCTTACTTGTGCAAAATGCTTATATATTACTCAAAATTATTTGAGAATAGAAAGGACAGTGAACATTTTATTTGTTAAAATTAATTATTTCACAGTTTATGTTAAAGATACATTATGGGAGATTCGATAACGAGTTGGCAGTTCTCACTATAATAATTAAAAACTAGATAACGTAAAGGCAATTTGCTGAAAATTCCATTCAAATTGATCCACTATGAACCAAGAACTAAGCGAATAAAATTTCCGCCCAGCCTCGGTCATCATTACTAAAGTCAGTACGTTAAACAGCATAGTCTCGATTATCCATTTAATTGTTTAATCGAGAAGGAAAGTTAAGCAGTAAATCGGATCACAATCCACTTAAGATCGCAGGCTAGAGTTGATTATGGTCTGGATAAGTTAATTAATGTATAATTAATAATTTAGATAACATTTCAGGCCTAAAGAAAGACCTGCAATAGGCAGATTTAGCTCTTGCATAATGTATGTTTAAATAGTAAACAACACGTCACCAATCATCCAGAGAAGCATTCCAACAAAAAAAACAAGTTTTAATCACTATACATAGTACAGACAAATAGTATGGCGTTTAGGAAGACAACATGGATTGCATGGGGTTTAACCTAGCAGTCCGGTTATAAAGTTAAATTCAACACGTGAGTAGCGGGTTATCTGCCTTGAATACAGTCTCGGTATTTTTATAGAACAGTATTGTTTTTATCCAGACGCTAATATCATCTTTACCATTGTTAATTGTGTAGAGTTGTCTCCCATTTATATGTTGGACTGTATCCCAAGATTAACATAAGCACTTTTCTCGTCCCTGTTTATATTGGCGAATGTGGTTGTGGAATCTGTAAAATAAAATAGATGAAAACAATAATATATTAAATATATTTATATCTAACTAATATAATCTGTATATAATTAATATTCATATTAAAAACAAAGCCACTCACTGTCTGTTCTGGTTCTATCTTCTACTGTATTCAGACTACTGTCTACTGTATTCAGACTATCATATACTGTAGTTGGTTCTATTTGTTGAAGTGAGTCGTAATTCTGGTTATTCTGTGTATTGACAATATCAGTAGAAGATGGTTGTAGATTAACATAATGTTGTAGACCTTGGTATGTTGTATCATCTACACCAGTAGCTGTTCTAGTCTCTAGATCTAAACCAGCATATGTTGATGATTCTTGAATAAATATAATATAACCATACTTAAATGAAATGGAGTTTAACATACAAGTATTATGATCCGAACTGGGCTTATGTAGGCGGGCATACGCCATACAGTGTGCTATGAGGATAATTTTGCCCGGCCTACTCTTATATCGAATTCCAACTGTCAATGGATCTTTTACCTGCACACCATTGTGTACACGGGACCTCGGTTTTTCGTCCCATCCGAACGACTAGACAGCTGTCCTTGTTAGGCCCTCCATCCTGCATCACAAACACCGACCTCCAGGCTAGCGAGCCAGCGTCTTACCCACTTAGCCACCGTGACCCCCATAACTAAACTTGTTAACGGTCTATTATATTAACCCTATCGAATATTGATGAAATTAAAATTCAGAAAAGTAAAATAAAACACCTAGAAGTGTATTCAGGATCATTCCATGTCAAGTGAACCAGGGTGGGAAATCGCCCCCCTCGAAAAAATCTGGAAAAATATATATATTTATTGTACATGTAAAAACTAGAAACTGTACAAAATTTGTGGTCTGTAGCTTGAAAATTGACTGAGATACGACCATTTGACCCACTTGACATGGAATGACCCATCAGGTTTCTAAGAAGGGTAAGCATAACCTACATAGAACATGACACCTAACATTAGCCATAGTTAGAGAGGGGGATAGAGGGAGAGAGATGATGATGATTAGACTAGCCGAAAATTCAAAAGCTAATATCTCGGTTCAGAGTGGAGCAATTTGACCGAAATGTTCAGCATATTCTATTTACGTTATTTACTTTTTAACAATTAAAGCAAGAACTGTGAACTCTTTATCTAATCTCCCATAATTTCCCTTTAATGCTTGATTTTAACCTATTATGTTAAACACAGAGGCGGATCCAAATAGCTCTTGGAATGGCTACAGATGCAAGGAAATGACGGATAATTTTCTTGGGGGAGACCCCCCCCCCATTCCCCCCCTCTCAGCGGCCTGCCCCGTCTCCGCGGTCAGTGCCCTCATTTTGCGCCCGCCCCCTTTTCAAAATTCCTAGATCCACCCCTGAAACATATCGATTTAACAATAACATCTATTATAATAATCTCAAACGATGAACATAATATATACCCCAAGACGATATAGCCCTAAAATATTTTAATTTGGTATCATAAAAGATAAAAACAAACAAACCGTCCTTGCCCGTTCGTTGTTTTATTTTTCGTACGAGAATAACAACGACCACTGCCATAAAAATAATAATAACAACAGTAACAACAAGTCCTGCTATTAAACCTGTATTAGAATCTGGTGGTACAGTTGGTGGTGATGAATCGACTGTAAAAATATAGATTGTAACAATACCTATTAAACAGTACCAGAAAATAATTTGACACAACTACTAAATGAAAAGAGAAATGCGGTTTAACGTTCTACTTTTCTACACCATCGTGGCTCATGATGGGCATAAGCAATGCAGTGTGGTATGAAAAATATTTTGCCCGAACAACCGGGCTACGAGATCCTCTAATTTCGAAATACACCTGTCAAGGGGTGAACGTTTACGCGTTCGTGACACTGAGCCACCATGGCTACACAATCCTACCAATACGTGTTCATGTTTCATGTACTAAACATAAACTGGCCGAAAACAACAACAACCGTTTTATTTATGTACCTATATTAAAAGTTTGTACTGTACCTACACTATCTACTTTCATTTTCAGGCATGTCCTTCAAACTACCCGACAACAACACTATCTACTTTCATGTCCTTCAATTCACAAACTCTAAATCCCAAGATGTAAAAGAAACCCATCTATTCTAAATGATTGTCCCGAATTAATTATAATATGTAGTCTATCTACCCATCGCTAAAGTTTGTATTGTATCTGGTCTACCGATCTTTAAAGTTTGTATTGTATCTTGTCTATTTACCTCTAGCTAATGTTTGTATTGTAGAAGAACCATCAGATGATATCAGATAAACTGGTTGACTATCATCATATTTATTTCTAGCTATAACTCTAATATAATATGTTGTATCAGCTTGTAGATTCTTTATACAATAATCAGGTTTAGATTCTGGTAGAGGTGTAGAACTAGTCCAGGTTTTATTATCTACTGAATGTTGAACAATAAATTCTTGTTGACCTCCACCATTAAATCCTGGTGTCCATATAATACAGATACTGTCATGACTTGGTGGTAATGAGTTGATGTTAGAAGGTACATCAGGTTTAGCTGAAAATATTATTCACATCTGTTACAGGAAATGGATTGTATTCAAATGGTTTACCATTGTTCTATTTTACCTTCTAGTCAGACTTAATGTAAAGCCTCTAGCATTCCGGTTATTTCGAGGGCTCTAGAGTGTCGCCGCTGTAACAGAGCATGTTCAGTGTCTTGGGCTGTATTCTGGTCGAAGGCATGAATCACATGATCATGACACTTTGTAAAGAGGCAATAAAATATTGATAATGGAGTGTAGTGGCTCTACACATACCGGTGCTATAGCATCATTAATGATTTTTATGTTCAATCAAACATGAATTTCACAGTACAAATTACCGTTCTATTCAATGAGACATACATAGTATTCTTGTAAAAAATAATTTCTCACTTACAAAACACATGTTTTAAATAATATATATTGACCATTACGTATGTAACTGGTGTGTTTAATTACAGAATGTTGCCATGTTATCTTGCGATTTTAGTTTAGTCTATAGACCCATTTTCTGAACAGATGACAATATTCGACTACACTCTTGTTGGAAATATTAAAAAAAAACCGAGTATTACTACAGTAAAACACTTCTTTCAACGACCTATTCTTGTTTCCGGATGTGAATAAAAGTACATATAATTTATTTTAAAAAAACTTGATGTTCTCTTATACACCGTAGTGTTCCATAATGCAAGAACTGAAACATGGCTATTTACAAAATAAATATATATTTACAAATATTTACGGTCTTGTAGCGTGACAACTCTTAATATGATTTGTATATAGATATTATTTATGTTGATGCCACCCTTTTCAACTGGTACCGTATTAACCATACTAAAAATCGTAGTTCTTTATGATTCATGTTATGTTATACTTACACAGAGCTGTTACCTGGTACTCTATTTCTGTATAACCAATATTATTAGATACATTGACTGTATATGATGTATAGAAGATGTTGGATGTAATGTTGATAGTTAATGTTGATCTATAAGTATTGATAGAGATACTGGTATCAATCTGTTTAAAGACATCATCATTATAGATAGGTTCAACATCTCCAGTAGTTATATTATTATAATACCATGTGAAAGTTGGTGGTGGATAGGATATAACATCAGATACCAGTTGTACTATATCTCTTATATTACCACCAACTATAGATGTTGTTATAACTCTAGTATCTTGTCTAGGTGAACCTGTATATAACAATATTAAAGATAGAACATCAGCTTTACTTTATATCTACACACAGCAAAAAAAGTTAAGCACACCCCTGACTTTTCACAGAGGGGCGAACTCACGGAAGTATGGTATGAAACTCTGAAAAAGAAGATAAGCAAAACAAATTTTAATTAAAAGAACAATCATTTGATCATTTGGAAGTGAAGTTTTATAACAGTATGAGCACTAAAAGTGCATGAAAACATAGAGTGAAATTGAGATGGAATTTCATCCAAAAGACATGGGTGTTTAAGTATCGTCAGTTCAAGGTCTTGGTGTGTGCCGCCCGGTAAAAGCAGCTTAAATAAAGTGGATCAGTGTCCCAGGAATCACAAAACATCACTAACATGTGCTGCCACCAAGTGCCTGTTCCTTAATTGTTCCATCGGTATCCGCTGCCACTCCTCGTGAAGAGCTTTCTCCAGTTCCCACAGGTTTTGTGGAGAGGATTCCTTCTTTGTACCCGATATCCAAAACATGTTCGATTGGGTTCAAATTTGGAGACATTGCTGGCCATGGAATTTCGTGTGACAGCATTATTTGCCAGATGTTGGTTTACAGCACGTGAACGATGAGGTCGTGCATTGTCGTCCATGAACAAAGGTCTAGTGGCAAGTCTGTGGTCATCGAAATGATCAATAATCACAACAGCAAGACCTCTTGAATGTAGCGAGCGCTTGTGAGTGAACCTTGTGTAGTCACCAAATCCAGTCTACAGTCGTAGGAGAAGCCTCTCCAAACAATTACGGACCCCCCAGCGAAATGTTCCTGGTTGCAAGACGTGTATTTCTAGTTCTCAATACGCGGGCTCTCCCATCAACAGGGGGGGGGGGTGCTTAACCTTTTTTGCTGTGTATATGTTATATTAGTAGTATATTTACATTTAACTAAGAGTGTGAGTGATTGCTTGTACTGAAAATTTGGCATTTCGTTATTTGTAGCTTCACATGTATAGACACCAGTATCCAGACATGTAGCTTGTGGTATAGTGAAGGTATTGATGTTGGTGTAGTTAGATGCTATTATAGTTGTACCATTGTACCAGGTAATCAAGGCTACAGGGTAACTGTTAGTAGAACACGTGATACTGATATTATCTCCTTCTTGTTTATCTTCCATATAAAGTTTGTTGGTGTAGGTTTAGATTGAACGCTACAGGTTAATCTATAGTCAGTATTTTCTAGTATTTTAGTGATGTTATCAGGTGATATAGTAACTGTTGGTCCATATAATACAGTAACGTTAGTTGTAGTCGTTCCTCTACCTGTTTCTTGTGGTAAAGTTGTAGGTATCATGATATTAGTAGCTGTACATGTATAAACACCTGACCTGTCTTTACCTATATTAGATATAATTAAACTAGACCCAGTAAAGTTCAGACCACCAGGTCCAGTCCATCTATAGTTGATATTACCAGGATTAGCTGTAGCTGTACACTGTAAGGTTAGATCAGTTGACTCTATTACTTGATATGTTGATGGTGTTGATACAATAGGTGGATATAAAACATCAACTTGTACAGGTGTAGATGCTGTACCTGATCCAATACTGTTAGTACCTGTGCAGGTATAACTTCCATTATCTGATAGCTGTACTGATCTACTCTATATAAAGATGAACGTTGACCTGTTACATCTATACCATTCTTACTCCATGTAAAACCATTAGATGGTACTGGTGGATTAGCTTCGTCTACACTACAATTCAACACGAGTTGTTTTCCTTCTATAACTTTATAGGGATTGGTTAACGGTTCTACGTGTACTCTAGGTAAAACTTTAAACACAAATACAGAATGATAAATATATGCAGATTTAAGAAAGGAAATAAAGAGTTCGTTAAATAGTATTAATCTTTACGCTGGAATGTTTGACATCTTTGACTGTCAAAGAAAGAGTTTTCCATTTAATTAACGTGATTTGATGTGATTTGACTATACAATGGGTGAGGCCAAAATAATGTTAAAGTAAGTGTACTATAGCTCTGATGTATCTGTTTTACTTCGGACCATGAATAAAGAAATAATGTACTAGTATGTAAAAGGAACAAACATGGCCATGGGTTTCATTTTGAAACTGAACTAATTTTTCAAATTGTTAATATTTTTTTCTAACCTGAACCAACTCTGACACAGGTACTAACTTTAAATGTTTCCCCAACCTAATGAAATAGATAATGTTCATGGTGGATCTCCTTCAAGATGCGATACATATATGAAATGGGGTTTAACTGGGCTAATGAAGAGGGGCATATGCCATACTGTGTGCTATGAGGGAAATTTTGCACAGACAGCGGCCCTGTGGCCTACTCTTATATCGAATTCCAACTCTCAAGGTATCTTTTACGTGCACGCCAATGTATACATTGGGGCCTCGGTTTTTCGTCCCACGACTATAACCTGTCCTTGTCAGGCCCTTCGTTCTGCATCACTGACAAGAAGTAAACCCCGGTTTTCAAAGAGGTTAAACGAAGTCTCAGCAAAATATATGCTAGCCCAAACAAGACAATTTTCGTGAGACTGCAGTTACATGTACTGTGACATTGACAATCAACCCAATTTAGATTTTCTGTAGGGTTTTGAAAGTTTTTATTTCAAGAGAAGACACGTATTCAGATTATTTTATTTAGAATCTGGAATATCCAACAAGTGGAAATAATTTCAGGTTTTACATGTAGTTACATAATTTTGTGTAACTCACAGTTTCATTTATATCACTTAAAGGAGCTAAATCGCTAATATTTGGGACCTAGAACTTGACAAAAACGGGTCGCAACGCATATAATAATGCAATATAAACTGACCTGCATTCAGTTGTTTCTGTTTTTACTCTACTTTCTAATCAGTTATGTTCGCGAAACGCCAGAAGTCTCAATCGAATGGCAATCTCTTGCATCTGGTTATTAAAGTCTACGTCGATAGTATTTATTGCGCATGCTCTCACCGTTTGACACGACTTGCGGAATATGTCTAGCCTCGTTCTTCGAGTCCCTTGTTACAAATGGCGCTGAAACGGATTATGGTACACGATTCGTATACCAATGGCAAAATGTATATTTTGTCTTAAATATTGAATATTAGAACCCCATCTTTTCCCGGTAAGCTCGCAAAATCAATGTTGATTTAAATTGACCACTAATGCGTGTTTTCAATGTCGATTTGATTGAGTTAGGGACTTAGCTTCTGTAAGATTCCTTGAAAAGAAACGTATTAGATTCTACGATACCAATAATCCTCGTGAAGTGACGTATCATGCTTGTACTAAGTGTCGGGTTAACTTATATGGTTTGCCATATTTAATTTTCGGTTGTCATCTTGTGTTTTCGCCAATTTGGAATTTCTTATCATCACGTCCATATCCGAAATAAATCAAGCGACCCCCACAACCTGATATAAAATCACTATAGGTACTTGTAATTAGAGTGAATAGAAACAAGGATATTGGTGAAATCACTAATTTGACTCCCTATTTGTAGTTTTGTACCACCCTAACTTCTGGCGATATGTTGTATAAGGTGGTAAGGAGTCAGAATAAAATATATTTATATATAAGTTGGGTAACTACAACTTTTAGGGAGGATTGGGGGGGGGGGGCGATAAAATTAATGTACGCTGTTAATTTCAACAAGTTTGGTGGGGAAGGTCTTGTTTCCAGTATAAAGCAAGTCTTAATTTACCATAAATATACTTACATGTAATATTCAATGTTATAGAATCTGTTTTAGATGTACCATAACCATTAGTAGCTGCACATTGTAGTATTTTATCATGATCAGATTTATCAGCTGTATACTGTAATATACTGGTAGTAGTTCCATCAGAGTTATTACTTGTAGTTCCACTTCCTACATTATTCCTGCCATTAATAGACCACGTGATAGTAGCATGAGGATACGATACTCCAGATTTACAGATGATATCTGTATTTAAACCATCACTAAATATTAAAATATTGTTACTAAAGATAGTAACATTTGGCACAGGTACTGAAAGTAAATAAAATACAGCCAATAACCAGTGTTACTGATAACAGTAAACATATTTTAAATATTCAATTATTGTTACTTATATGCTATAATAGTATCCAACGACACAGGTAAATGTAAGCGTTGATTCACACTAAATTTTATAAACACGTTTCACTGTTGATAGTAATCACATTTAATACAGCCAATAGCCTTTGTTGTTAATAGTAGTCAAATTACGATAGAAATCACTGTAATATTTTCATAAGGATGCGAGGTTCCTATATTGATATGTCATCAAATACTTTAAACCCATTTTAATAATAAAAGTTGTATAGAACTGTGTCCATTAATACCTGACCGTTTTATCATGTATATGACATACAATAATTATTATCGCTATTTCGTCGACTGGCTGGTATTTGTTTACTTTACTATTACTATATCCAGTTATAATATATATCTTACCTTTAACATCTATAACTATGGTATCAACTGTACCAGGCAGATCTTCACATCTCCACATTCCACCATCTCTATCTCTAGATACATTAGCTATATTAACAGATACACTGGTATTAGTTTGACTGATGGTATATATTCCAATATATTGTTGATTTTGATTGCTCAGTGCTAATGCACAACTAGTTTCGTCCAGAAAACAGTTGGTTATAGTAGCATAGCCACCAACAGCAGCCGTGTTATATTTCAGTATGCTAACGAACTCTAAATTAGTACATCTTATAGAAGCTGATTCACCTTGTGTTACGGTAGATGGTACTGTTTCTATTGTTGGTGTACCTGTAATTATAAATACACATTGTATTATAGTTGATGGTACTGTTTCTATTGTTGGTGTACCTGTAATTATAAATACACGTGTATTATAGTTGATGGTACTGTTTCTATTGTTGGTGTAACTGTAATTATAAATACACCTTGCGTTACAATAGATGTACCTGCGATTATAAACACCCATGGCTTTGTGGGTAAGACGTTGGCTCCCCTTTGTCAATAGTACAGGCCTGACAAGGGACAACGTATAGTCGTTCGGATGGGACAAAAAAAACGAGGTTCCATGTACACATTGGGGTGAACATAAAATTCTCTAGGCAGTTGGAATTCGAAATAACAGGAGGCCGTAGTACCGTTGCCCTGGCAAAATTGTCCTCATGGCACACTGTATGGCGTATGCCTGTCTTCATTAGTAGGGTGTCCCCCATAATAACGGCGACTGTGGATTGGACTTCTTTATTTTAACAGTACAGGAACACACATTAATAATTATTACATCTATTATCCTAACAACCAATACAGGACATGGGAACATAACATATCATATTGTAGTCATTTCGGTCATCGTTCTAATTCACGTTCGCCTCTATTCTTGCATACCCACGTTCTGTCTTGAGCTTCCGAGCTCCTCTGGTGGCCAACTAAATCCCATCTCATTTATATCCAAAACCTAAAATTATCTCACGATAAGCATATGGCAGGCTACATGATGTGTGGTAACTTGACCACTATACATGATTATCTAACTTTGACTATTTACACACACCAGCTGGACTTTTATTAAATTAAACAGTCGTATGGTCAATTAGACAACAGCAGAGGTTGTATCACACAAGCTGTCATAGGATGATTATAATATTTTACCTATCACTGTCGCTCACACAATGTAACATTGTAATACAATATAAGAGTAGGACATAGTGCTCGGGCAAAATGTATGGAGTATGCCCGTCTTCATTAGCCTAGTCGGAAAAGAACAGTAGGACGTTAAACCACATTTCATTTCATTTCATAATAAAACAAATTAAAAAAAACAAAATGAACCTACTGTAAGGTCCTATTAAATATTTAAAAGCCGATACATTTTTTGAAAATTCCACTTGCGGTGGATTTTTATAGCCTCATTGACTATACTGCTGAGTATTCTCGCACTGCGTGCTTAGCCAGAAATCAGTTGCAGGCTAGTCACTAAAGCGTGCACATTCGCTTAAGAATGTTCAACCTTTAACAGGGCACATTTTGGCTGCGAGGGGCACCCTATCATTAGCCCAGTAGGAGCTAAATCGCTAATATTTTAGACCTAGAAATTGACACAAATGGGTCGCAAGGCATAAAATAATGTAATATGAATGTATCTGAACTGAATTACATTCAATCGTGTCAGTGTTTACTGTAATTTCTAATCAGTTATGTTCGACGAAGTACGCTAGAAGTCCCAATCGAATGGCAATCTCTAGAGTCTGGTTATTCCAGTCTACACCGATAGTATTCATTGCGCATTCTCTTGTTACAAATGGCACTGAAACATATTATGGTACACGAATCGTGTACCAAAGGTAAAATCTTATTTTGTCGTATATATTGAATATCAGAAGCCCATCTTTTCCCGGTAAGATCACAACATCAGTATTGATTTAAATTGACAAAACAATTCGTGTTTTCAATGTCGAAGACTTTGGATGATATTAAGTTAGAGACTTAGTTACTTTAAACCCCATTTCAATTGTTATAAACACACGTTATTATACATATAGATGTAAGCTAATATACCCGACTAACGACAGGTAAAACGTGTAAAATCAGATGCAATAATATTAATAACATTAATAATAATAACTTTAATTAATGAGGCAACGTATGTAGTTTGCAAAACAACTAATCTTCCATAAGCCACTCCTAAGCTACAAAGACATATATACATGTATAATATCAGGATAAATTCAAAAACATTTGAAATGCAATAGCATTTTAATGTGGGAAGTCACTCCTAAACTACAAATCATATACATTATGCAAGTAGAATATAGGAAGAACATTATAATTACACACAAAATAAGATAGAATGCAGTAGCAAGTTAATTTATACACGAAAAATAATAAGTATGACATCATTTCAATATTATGTTTTTTTCAGTTTTCAATATAAATGAGTTTTCAGTTAAATCTTAAAATTTTCAACACTTTTACATATCTTTATATCAAAAGGCCGATCGTTCCATAAAAGTCATGCAGAATAATGAAAAGTACGTTTCATGGATTCCGTTTTGCATTTTTGAAGGAAGAGAGATTTACTGGTCTGTGAACGGAGCAAGAAATCAGTTTTGGAAACAGAGATTTTTCAATAAAATAGGAGTATTATATGTAATAATTTTGAATAAGACAATTTTATTATAAAGAATCCTGTGTAAGGGTAAGCCAACCGAGTTTAGTAAATAACGAGGTGGAAATGAAGAGGAGTTTCAATTGGTGCATCAAGAATAATTCTTGCTGCCCTCTTTTGTAATTTTAAAAAAATGTCTAATCTACTTTTGGTAGCATTCCCCAACATAATAGAGTAATAGTCAAATAATGGTAGTATGTAACTATTATAAAACAAAATTTTTGTCTCGTAAGGTAAATGATCTTTTATTATATTGACTGTACTAATTGATGAGGTAATTGATCCTAAACAGACTTCCGTGAGTCAAGATATGATTCAATCAAAATTTATGATTTTTTATCAAATCGATAAAGATGTAGCTTTTCAATTATAAGCTTGTGATCAACGAGATCAAATGCTTTGCTAAAATCAAGATACACTATAGGCCTACCACTCATCGCACCATTATCGATAGCATCAAACCAATTATCTGTCATTCGGATCAGTGCAGTAGCACATGAATGATTTGATCTAAATCCAGATTGGTACGCATAAAGAACATTGAATGTTTCTAAATAATATTGAATTTGGGTGCTCAAGTGCCTTTTCGAATATTTTTGAAATTGTGGGGAGAATTGACATTGGCCAATAATTTTTCGCATCATCTTTAGCTCCCTTTTTTATAGGAATAATTTTAGCAAGTTTAAGGGCACTGGGGGATATGTTTTGAGAAATACAAAGATTAATGATATATGTCAAACTGCTACAAATTTTATACGAAGACAATTTTAAAATTTTGGGTGCAATACTATGTTCTAGAATGCTACACGATTTATCCCACAATTCATTTGTTATAATGTGTACCAATGATATAAATATAGATAGTATATTTAGTAACAATAGTCTACTCACCTTGTACATGATATATACATATTACAATACAGGTTGATATATACAACATTGTAACTTGATGCTGTACAGTGGTATACATATTGTTCACTTTATAGATGAAGACTGTACTTACATTTACATTAAATCATTATATGACCTTGTGAAACAAACATTATATCAGTCAGTATATATATAAAGACTATATAAACGCGACCTATATATATCTATCATGTGTATCATATTGTATTTTACTTCCTCTTTCAACATTTGAATGGCCGACGTCATGCCATACAATATCGTCCACGTGCTTTGTACAGATAATCTTATACAAAATATCAGACTAGAAAAGATCAAATTAATATTCATTGAGTACTATGAAGGCATCACACGAAAACATTAACCTGAAAACGAACAATAATTTGCAGTTTAATTACTTTGAAATCTGGTCAGGATTATATAAAATACCATTTATTATAGTTGATTTTAACTACAAATATTCAAAAACGAAATGACTTGCAGTAAGTGTTCATGGCCTGAGGAATCTCAGTGAAGTAAAATACCCACAGCTATCTACAGCTGTGGAACCCTAAAAGGATTCCAAGAAAATGTCCTTGTTTTAATAGTGGGAAATGTTAAAGCAATAAATGCCCCAACCGGTTAGTATAAATGATTCGAAATAAATTCGATACACGATAATCTAATTGACATAATTAATTATATAAAATCATAAACATTAATTACCAAAACTCCGCTGTATGATACTGGTTATAACAAAATGACGGTTTGGTTAAACAAACTAAATTCTAATGATTCAGATATAACGAATGGAATGAAAAAGGCTACTTGTACAAAGTCTGTATGTCATGACGTCGTATATCAATAGACCAGTGATTCTCAACCAGTGTGCCGCGATACACAGGTATGCCGCGAGATCTTCCTAAGTGTTCCGCAAAATTTTGAACGGCACACTAAGAAAATGAAAAAAAAGCCACTTGATCCCAATTGAGTATGCACTGATGTCTACTGGTACGTTTATAGCTGTGTTTTCCTGTATTTAGTTTGAGTCATTCTATGTTTCTTTGACTAGTCTGTGTCTATGTTTGTTTGCCGTCAAAAATTTCACGACATAGTGATCATCAGGGTAACTTATACCCCCATTTCACTGAGCTGCGGAAAGCTGCGGTACTCACGGACGTCCGCAGAATGGCTTCTACGGAAGAGCTTCGGCATTTTTACGCGGAAAAGTGGAAAAAAAATTCCACGGAAAATGTCCATTTCACACGCTCTCGGAATACCTTCGGAACAGTCACGGTATCTTCGGAACACATACGGGTAAACTACGGTACAAATCACGGCGAAGCGGCGGAGAAACTGCGGAACACTTAGGAATGCGTCCGGATCGTCACGGAAGATATTCGGACAACTTGCGGGCTACACTCAGCAATGACGGAAAATACGCGGGATAACTTCGGTAGCTCGGACCAATGGTGACGTACCTGCGGAAAATCGGTAAAGATCAAAGGATGACATCGGATTCCGCCGGTAAAATCACTGTTTTGAAGACAGAAAGCACGGACTTATATCCCCACTTCACTAGACCGCGGAAGATTTGCGAAAGCAAATCCGCAATTATACCTCAAAGTACCGTATGTCTTTCCTGTTGTACCGCATTGTTCCGCTAGGAAGCGCTGTTAATCCGTATACATTCCACATCATCCACAGTCTTCCGCGCGCCCAAAATTTTCCGCAAACGTTCTTTTGAACATGTTCAAAAGAACGTTTGCGGGAAAATTTGTTCGTGCTCTTCCGCAGTTAAACCGGGAGCGATCCGTAACATTCGCAAGTTTTCCGCTGTTATTCCGTATAGAAACGCAGTTGCCGCAAGTTGTCCGCATGTATACCGCAGACATTCCGTCACTTCCGCGGGTGTCAGATAGTCACGGATTACATGCGTTCGTGTAAGGAAAAATGCGGAAGACCTTCGCCTGCGAAATAAAAGCGTGGTATGTTCACGAAATGTTACGGATTAGACGCGGATGTGATACTGAAGTGGCGTAAATAGCCTGACACCATGGATAATGATGCATTACAGAGGGGTGTGATGACGGATTAGTCACGGATTAGGCGCGGTTAATATACGACTCGTTTGCGGACTACTTGCGGAAGCCGGGAATCAATTGCGGACTGTTTGCGGACTTCCCGCGGAAGAATTTGCAGGATATAAAATCCGTGCAAAGTCATCTTTCATTCATACCTCGTCAGGTATTGCAAACAATTGTTTAAAGATGCCAAAGGGGAAGCCTAGTTGTAAGAAGAAGGGTCCAGCAATTTCTTTTGGTCGAAATCATGTGCAAATCATGTGCTCTTTACCAATTTTTCCGCAGGTACGCCGTGATTGATCCGAGACCAAACGCTGTTGCCGAAGATCGTCCGCACTTGTTGCGCATTTATTCCGCGTATAACGCAAGTACTAAGCGATTATTCCGCAGTTCTACCGTGCCAAACGGATTAGTATCGCCAGATACCGCAGTTATTCCGCTACTGCCGAGTGTGACCCGCAAATTATCCTTATGTCTTCCGTGCTCATTCCCATGTGTTCCGCAATTTTTCCGTGATTTTTTCCGCAGCTCTGCCGTCCAGGTAGAAATATCTATAAATGGAGGTCGGCTTTCCACGGATTCTATACCCTGAAATTTTTTTCCGCGGGAAGTCCGTAAACAAACCGCGATTGATTCGCCGCTGCTGCAAGTAGTCCTCGCGTACCGCATGCAGTACGCAAATGACCCGTATAATAACAGCGCCTAATCCGTAACTAATCTGTCGTCAGGCCGGCTATCCCTCGTTCTTGTGCGTCTCATCCGCATCTTTTCCGTAAACATTCGGTGGCATACCACGCTTTCCTTTCGCAGGCGAAAGTCTTCGGTATTCTTCCTTACATGAACGAAGGTTACCCGTAACCATTTAACACACGTGGAAAGTGACGGAATGCCTGCGGTATACATGCGGACAACTTGCGGCAACTACGTTTGTATACGAAATAACAGCGGAAGACTCTCGGATCGATCCCGGTTTAATTGCGGAAAAGCACGGAAAAGTTTTCCGCAAATGATATTTAAAGGAACGTTCGCGGAACAATTTGGGCTCGCAAAAGTCTGTGGACTACGAGGAATGACTACGGATTCACTGCGCTTCCTGGCGGAGCCATACGGAGTGAAAGGAAAGACTTACGGACTTTGCGGTACACTTGCGGATTTCCTTCCGCAAGTCTTCCGTGGCCCAGTGAAATGAGGGTATTATACATTGTGTTGCTAATGGTATAGCGTTAACAATGGCCGTAATTCATGACGCCATACGCAGTAAATGTGACGTCAACATGATTTCATGTTAGTTACTGTTTAATTTAGGGGTATATCCTTCAATAAATAATCGTTCATTGATTGTCCTCAGCTCTTCATTCTCTGTGCGCAGTTTGTATATAGGACAGATTCTGAACTGGGGATTGCAATTCTTTGCGCATTCAACTATATGTCCGCTAAGGGGTATACATCTATAATATGGGGTTTTAATTTGTTGTTTATGTACTCGGACTCTTGTATACCCCTTAGCGGACATATAGATGAATGCAATAATGTCATTTTCTAAGGAAGTGAAAAAATAATTATTTTAATATCTGTTATTCAATAGGTTGTGAAATCTCTATTGTACAACCACAGACATCATTCTAGCACTTAAAAATCAATAGCATTCAAATTTGAAATATTTTCTACTCGCCACGGTACTTGGAAATTGTATCATTTTTCACTGGAAAACTAAGTCCATATAATGGAAGCTGGAAATTGTCTCTATTGTCAAGGTTAAACATACGAATAATGATGCCTCCGTTGTTTTAATGACTCTATATCTGCCACCAATATATACAGTGATTTATATATATTTCATTTTTAAGATTGTTTTGTTGATTGAACGATGGTCGGTTGCGCTTTTTATCCATTCTACACGATTTATTTTTATCTTACAGCGAATCTATCATTACTTGATTACTTTCGCATGTTTTTTTTCTTTTTTCATTACAAATGGCACCTGATACCATGGTCATTAAGTAAAGGAGTCTTGTACTAATTTTTGTCTTACAGTGAATCTACCATTTTAATTACTTTCACATGTTTTTGTTTTCTTTTTTCATTACAAATGGTGCGTGAAACCATGGTCATAAAGTGAAGGAGTCTTGTACTGATTTTAAAATGTTCATTGTGTACGTTTTAGATATTGGATACTGGAACCCATACTTTCACGGAAATGATTTCTAATACATTTCATTGGAGTTACATAAACTCCTTTAAAGAGTAGGGGTGGTGGGGGTAGTGGTGGTGGTGGGGGCGCTGTATCTGTCATCGGGTCAACTTGTGTGGTTTCAAATACCCTGTTGGACGTGACAAGGAGTATCTTCCTCTGTCCACCCTCGTGGGTTTTCTCCTGGTCCACCGGTTTCCTCCCACAACTAAAGACCAAAACGCGAATGCGAATGGTTGAAATAAAATTAAACCGTATGTTAGTCCCGAAATAACCTAGTTTGGGTCTAGTGAACGTTAAACCCTGACCAATTTTACTCACCTGTCGGTTGAAGGTGACTGTCGTATTTGTGTTTAAATATAATTTAAATCGGTGTTATTATAATGTTTATTCTGTGATAAGACTACTGTGATATTCGGATTTAAATTCTTGGACTACTGAACTTGTAAGTACAATATTTCTAGTTTCATCCTGCGGTATATAGCCGTTTTCTCTACGATTAGAGATGACATCCTTGTAAAACCGAACTTGTATTCATTTTAACTTTATTATCAAAATGGGCAGATCTAAATTGGGTAAAAATAATGGTAAAAGTGTTAATAAAAGGAAGCGGACTACGAGCACTGATAATATTCAACGTAGCACTGATAACTCTGGATTTCTTGATAGTCTCATGAAGGATGACCAATCCCTTAAACGATTCATTTCTGGCCTTTTAAAGCATCAAAACACCAAGGATCATATCATGAACGAACTTCAGCCTGAAATTTCTAAGGCAACAAAATTAATGACCGTTTCAATTGTATGGACGGGCGTATAGACGACCTCGAACAATACTCGAGAAGAACTTGTCTCAAATTTTGTGGTATACCGGAGACGACGTACAGTGAAAGAGAGG